AAAAATGACTGCTGGAGCTGAACCCAGGATACCAACTTATGCCAAGCTTGGAAATATTAGTTTACTCAGATCTATAAAATCCCTTTACCATAAGGCAGGTCAGCTCAACACATTTGCCAGGTCCGGACCAATTTGGAGACACTTGAATGCTTATGATATACTTTTTCCTCTTTCTCTCAGCTTGAATCAGTTGTATGTTACCATTTAACAGGATGTTTTACCAATGTTCATAGGGCTTCCTGCTACCATTAAAAATGTAAACATGATTATGTGATTATGAAGGCAGCAAAACTTCAGTAAAGGCTTGTTGATGCTCACCACCAAGATGCCTGTATCCTTCCCTGTTCTTCCCCTATTGAGAGTCTTATCTCTCAGAGGCAGAGGGCCCAGCCAGTTTCTGCTGATTTCATTATGTTACACACATACAGCATGTTGTGGGGAAAAAAACAAACTATAAGATTCTTTATCATGTACATAGCCAACAGTGAAATCGTCCTACTCTAGGAGTTCCTGTTACTTACTGTTAGAGATTCATCTTGGATCTCCTGAAAGAGCCTAAGATTTGGGAATGGACAAGTGCTAGTGGTTGGTACAAGGACGGGAAAATGGAAGCCTATACAAGTTTTAAGAATGAATTTCACTTGCCTGCTTACTCAGAACGTTGCATTGTAAATTAAGGGTAGAGTGTTTGAGAGAAGGAACTGACATCTACTGAAATGTTTCTGGTGGTTTTCTTTCTTTTTCCCCTGGGGGATGTAAGGGTCTTACGTGATGAGTGTTTATGAATCTGTATCCTTTTAAAAGGTATAAAGGGAAATAAAATTACTCTTTTCCATTTTACAGAGATACCCAGAACTCACATGGAATACGAGAACAGGCTCACTATGAAAATGTTTTTGTTCCAGTTTGTCAACTACTATTCCTCCTGCTTCTATGTGGCCTTCTTCAAAGGGAAATTTGTTGGTTACCCAGGTGCCTACACATACATGTTTAATCGCTGGCGAAATGAGGAGGTAGGACTTTCTAGATTAAAGTGGATAGAATAATAATAATAAACTCTTTATGCACTCCAGCCTGCTTGGTTATAAATTACCAGTTTCTCGTTTGGGCTAGAGTAAGCTGGACCTCAGTTGACAGTCCTGAGGCTGATGGAGAGGCATCCCTGGCAGTGTTCAAGGTCAGGCTGCACGGGGCTTGGAACAGCCTGGTCTGGTGGAAGATGTCCCTGCCCATGGCTGGGAGTTGGGATGAGATGATCTTTAAGTCCCTTGCGACCCAAACCATTCTATGATTCTATGTTCTTGTTTTATCAGTGTTTTGTCAAGCACATTGAGCACTGAAAGCCCTTCTGTAACAGCCTTCCTGGGAGGGTATTTTAGCTGGCAGCCCAGGTGAAAATGAAGTGGTTTAAGTTCTCAAAGTTTTTAGAACTCTTCAATTTGTCTGTCTTAAACCCTAACCTGCTACAGTATAAATTAATCTGGGTTATGTCTGTTATTCATGTCCATTAATCCTCAGTTTGTCTCTGCCAGTGCGATCCTGCAGGTTGCTTGATAGAATTGACGACACAGCTCACCATAGTCATGGCTGGCAAACAGATCTGGGGAAATATCCAAGAGGCCATTGTACCGTAAGTTCCCTCTTACACTGAGATGCCCTTGCTGTAGACAGGAAATCCTTAGAAGGAATGGTAACAAGTATTGCCATATGAAGAAGCTAAGATAAATTCTTTCAATTAAGCACCAATTCTGACGAGTGGATTTATTTCCTAGAGGCTTTTGACCTCTTTTTGTGGAAGCCATGCTTGTAAAAGCAGGTAACGACAAGGAGCTTGCTTAGAGAAAGGGATACGTGATCTGCTTCTCTCATTACTAACCTCTTACCTTCATTTGCAGCTGGATTTGTAACTGGTGGGGGCGCCGGAAAGCCAGAAATAATCCAGAAAATTTATACAGTCGCTGGGAGCAAGACCATGATCTGCAGACATTTGGAGCCTTAGGCCTGTTCTATGAATATCTAGAAATGGGTAAGTTTAAAAATACACATTTAGAATTGAGGACAAAACACCCTGTACTGACACTGTAAAGAACAAAAGCTTCTCAATTCATTGTTCTGGGTTGATGCCACCACTTTCATCTGGTAAACAGCAGATGATTAACTGCTGGGAATCATTAATGATTCCTAGCAGCCCAGTGAAAAAAAAACTAAGCAAACAAGCTGCCTTTGCATCTTAGACTGTAGGGGATTTCACAGAAGCACTGCAAAGACTGTCTGTTGCCCTCATTTGAATGGGGAATGTTATTCTCAGTGCAGCCAGCTCTCTCACTGTCTGTTCTTGTTCCCTAGCATATTCTCAGCTGGTGTCAGTGCAAGTTGTAAGTATGGGAAAGTTGTAAGTATGGGCCGAGTGCCAAATACTCTGTAGGGATGGGCACCACAAATTGGAGGTCTGAAAACTGGACCAGGGAGACTCCATTTAGCTTGAGGTTTGTGCTGATCAGTGCTTCCATACAGTGAGCAGCCCAGCCCAGCAGAGGGAGCTTGGGTAGCACAGTAGGATTTTCCAAAGGAAATGTGAGCAGGTCAGTGTATAAGATGACTCTACAAAACCTGAGAAACTAAAACGAGCAACTGAAGGCAAACTAAATGTAAAGTACACTAAAAATATATATAGAGAGAATATTTGTTCATTATAAGGACAAAATTTGTTGAAAAGTGGATCTTCGTACTGTTTTATTTCTACAGAAGCAGTCAAGTGTTCTAGATTGCCTAGAGATGTGTAGCTTTGTTATTGTCACTTCCTACGCTTCGTGATATTTCATACAGGACCTTGATCTTGTGAAACTAATACACTCAGAATAATCACTGCTGTCAGCCACACCTGTAATAGATGCCCTTGCTCTTCCTGAAGCAAAGCTGAAACACTAAACTGCAGCATTGTCCTGGGGCTGCTAAGCGAGTAGGGACTTTGTTTCTTGTCTAAGATGAAGAACTCATCACTGAAATCATGAAGGAACTGATGGCTGGTGCATGGGAATTTATTTTTATCCACTGCTGAAACTAGACAAGATGTTCTATTTCCTGTCTTTAAGATATCGTGGCAGTATTGGCTCTGCACTGAGGACTGTCACATTCTGTACCAAGAGACGTTTCATTTTGGTAACGACTGAAGGGATCATTTGTGTATTTTATTTGCAATTCTAAAACTAACATTAAGACTCCCCAGTAGAACTGTTACAGTCAGATTTGGTATTATTTAGACTAAACCAGTAGCCATAGATGGGGTAAGGTTGTGATACTTCCTCTTTTTCATGTAGGACTGTAGCTGATAAGTAAAAGGAGAGCATGCTTGCTCTGTACAAACTTCAGGAAATGAAAACCAGCCTGGTTTTGTTCTTGTAATTCAGAAATGTGATGGATGAGTACGTTCCCCTACAGTTGCATTCCGTTCAGGAGACAACTGTGGCACCATGAAAGAGCTAGTATCCAGCACTGCTGGCAGCACCATTTGAGAGGACCCAGATGCCCCATTCCCTTGGGTGCTGCTGATTGGCAGCCCTGAGAGACTAGACAAGTGTCAGGGCTGGGGCAGATTGTACCTTGGCTCTGGGCAGGGCTGGAGATGATTTCTTGTTTCTCTGCAAGTGGCAACTTGCATGTTTCATTGTCACCCTGAGGGTACTTCTGTAAGGGGCAGATTTTGGCACTTTTCTTTTCTTCCTTGCAGTCATTCAGTTTGGATTCATCACTCTCTTTGTGGCATCCTTTCCCCTGGCTCCCCTCCTTGCTCTGATGAATAATATCCTGGAGATTCGAGTAGACTCCTGGAAATTAACCACCCAGTATAGGAGACCTGTGGCTGCAAAAGCACACAGCATAGGAGTTTGGCAAGAAATCCTGAATGGAATGGCCATCTTGTCTGTTGTCACTAATGTAAGTACGTGAACTGTGCTACATCAACTTTGATTCTTCCGTGTACTCGCAATTTGCAGATTTAAAAATCAGCTGATGCTTTTTCTCCTTCATCATCAGTATTGACTTCATCACATGTTACCCTACTTGGGTGGTTTGGCTTTTCTGTTGATGACATAATCCACACTTCATTGGACTGTAATCTTTCGCTCACTTGGCTGTGTTTTCCAGCATTTTGGAATGGCATAAGCTAGTCTGCATCTTAGTCTGGTGAAGCACACAGATTGCCCAGAGGGGACAGGAGAGGTGGATTAATTGTGTCGGCCTGATGACATTATGTCTTGTCATCCTGTTTGTGGGAATTCTGCTCATTCAGCTGTTTCTGGATGCCCTATGGGGTCAGTGGCTCAGAGTACTTAGTATAAACTGGAAACTAAATGCTATGCTAGTATTTCATCTTAAGTATAATGTAGGGCAGACTGCCGAGCACAAGAGTTGCCTTTTTTTAGTGTGGAATATTAAGCAGTGTCAGACCTGCAAGTGTCTTGGGCAGCAAATCCACTTGTAGGTATTGCCTAAGTAGCAAGGTACCTGAGCATCTGAAGTATCTCCAGTTCCCAAGCACTGGAACAATGGGAGCCATTGTTTAGTTTTTAAATACAGCTGGAGAAAGTGGCTCCCTCCTTTTCCCTCCAGTGATCTAACACTGGATTTGAGTTCATCCTTTCTCACAAGAATTCAAAACTGTATCTCTTTAACTAAGAGTGCTGTTGTCACAGATAAAACACAGTTTGTATTGAGGGGATATTTGGGATTTGGTGCCTCTTGTAAGGACTGTTCCCATATTTTTTGTTCATTGAATGCTGGTGCTTGCAGGGGAGGCTGCAGTCAGCATCTTTACCGAGGTGAAGTGCCCTGGCCATGCTGCTTACCCTTGCTTTAAAGGATTCTGAGTTACACCACTAAGTCACAGTGTCAAAACCCTCACAAGGTTTGTAGGCCACTTCCTTAATTCCTTTTCCAAATTTCTTTTTCAGGCTTTTATTGTTGCGTTCACATCAGATATGATTCCTCGTTTAGTTTACTACTATGCCTATTCTGAAAACGAAGACTCGCCCATGTCTGGATACATAAACAATAGTTTGTCAGTGTTTCAAATCTCAGATTTTCCTGACAGAAATAAGCCTAAAGTGAATCGAGAAGACTTTGTCATATGCAGGTTGGTGTTGGTGTAAGAATAGACACTTTCTTAGTATGTGTAGAATACAGCGTAAAAAGTCAATGCAGGTCTAAGCAGTCCACTAGAAATGAAATTATGGCATCCTCATGGTTCTAAAGTGTGAGAGGTAATGTTTAAGCTGTTAAGAATGTGGTGCCTAAGGTGGTATGAGATCAAAAAATCACCTTTTTGCTGCTTCAAGAGTCTCACTGCTGCCTTTTTGCTTGTTTTGGGGTGTTTTTACTTAATTAAACTATTGATTTTTGAATGATGGAGGAGATTGATGTCCTTAAGGCTGCAAACTTCGGCCTATATTTTCAAAGGTTTTTAGGCTGCAGTGCCTAACTGGACAAGGAAGTATCATTAGGGGGATGTTTGGATTACAAAGCTGAAAATGAGACATGTTATTTAAAGTCAGTCATTACTGTGCTAGATACCAGCAAGGATCTGGGCCATCCTGTTTTCGTTAAAATAAAATAATCCTTTCTTGCTGGAAGAAGCATTGGAAGCTCCAGAAGAATTGAATTTAGAGAAGTCCATGGTAAAAGAAAATACTGATTTGATGAAAATGAAAAAGCTCCAATCAAATGAACATACAAAACACCCCCAGCACTTTAAGAAGGAACTACATTTGTATGATGTTTTAGATGTAAAACCTCAGGAGTCTTTATTTATACATGTGAGTGTAGAAGACCTACTCAAGACTGTCCTTCCATTAAACCCTGCATCTGCCCAGCCCATAATCTGTCAACATCTGTGACATTTATTCAAAACCTGTCCATCACATTCCATCCCTCTGTCCTGTATTAGTTGATGATTGCCTGAAAAAAGGTGACCTATGTCCAAAACTTCACTTCTCACCCATCCGCATCTCTGCTCCACTGCGCTGAATGTGAGGGTGTTTAAGCAAACATCAGATAGAAACAAATCAAGGGGCAACCTTTTTCTGCCAAAGGAAACAGAGCATTTAAAATAAGGTGAAAAGGTTCCATAAGCTACAGCTGTATTTGCCTGTCAGTGTCACTGAGCTTGTAGTCTGTGTCAGACTGACTGTGACATTTCACCTTTGCATGTCTTTCTGTCCAACAGGTACAGAGATTATCGATACCCTCCAGATCATGAGAGGAAATATTTACACACTATGCAGTTCTGGCACATTCTTGCTGCAAAACTGGCCTTTATCATTATTATGGAGGTATGTTCCCTAAAACATTTCCTGCTGCAATTGGTGCTGTAGCTAGTTACTAATGGTACCGAAAGTAGAACTGCTGAAGAGTATCAAATAGTTTCTTGCCTAAGTAATACCAGATACTCATGTCCTAAATGGTTCCTATAACTAGGTCTTTCAACTTCAGGTAGTTAACCTTAGAGTAAGAAGAGTGGAAACAGCTGAGGGAATGGGTAAATTTGATCCAAAAAAACAGCAAGCAGAATGAAGGTGGTTTTTATGCAGATGGGAAAGACAGGAACTGCCTGGACCAGCGCTTTTCCTCCTCCTAGTTTCACTGAAGAGCTGGATGGGAGATGGCCATACCCAAAATCCAGAAAGCATTTTGCAGTGACATATATTGCCTAAAGATAGCTAAATCCATAATTTGGCTAACTGTCACTTCACTATTAGGCCACTATCTTGCAAGTTCTGGAGGAGAAAGGGAATTGAAGTCTCTTCTTCAGCACACCGCAGATATACATTATGAAACCTATTATGTTTGTGAGGAAAAAAATGCTCTCTTTAGGATTAGATGGAACAATAGGTCTGTCAGTTGGTAATGAGTTGTTACATTTCTCCTGGTTTCCTTTTCGTTTCTTTTTCTTCTTTTTCCAGCATGTTGTGTTCATCGTTAAATTCTTCGTAGCGTGGATGATTCCTGACGTCCCTGCGGACGTGAAAGCCAAAATAAAACGTGAAAAATATTTAACACAGAAAATCCTACATGAGTATGAACTTGAAAAACTGAAAGAGAGACTGTGTCAAGGTGATAAACGAGCCACAGAAAAAGAGTTCATTGCCACAGAAGGGAGAATGGAGTTATCCAGAGCCATGTAGTTGAAAAACCAGCTGTTTGGGATTTAGCTCATTGTGATTTGCTCAGTACACATCATGTTGATGTGTTTCAACAGAGGTTTCCACCTTTTGCTTTCAGTCCAAAGATTTTAGACTTTGCTCTAGAAGTCTCACTGAACATCTTAGGTTTAGGAAATCTACTTGACAGTATGATTTCAGCACTTTCTATTTACCCATCGCTTTGAATAAGAAGCATAATATTGTCATCCTCAAATTTGGATTATCCAATATAGAGAACAATACCCTTGAAAGGTTCACAGGGCAGGGTAAGGTCATGAGCACCAAGCCCCTCCCCCTGTTGCTCAATGCAAAATTCCCGGCTGATACAGAAGTATCCCAGTTGAACCAAGAGGCTTATCACAGAGCTGCTGTGGAAAATGCTGACAAGTAGTATTTTTGTGGCATGATCTTCTAAAGAGGAGAACACTCCAGATGAAAGGGTTAGGGTTTGGAGCTTTTATTTGTATCCACTCTGTCTTAGGAAGCATTTCTTTGCAGCTTTGAACTTCTATTCACTTTCTAGAAGGAATTGATTTTTTAAAATGTGTTGGTTTAATTCCACTTGGAATTATTTACAGGCAGAGAATTCAGTCAATTAGTATTAATGAAGGAAAAAAAAGATCATTAAATTTTGTAAAGATACCACCTGCCAAAGAGTTTGCTCTTAACTGACAAATTATTGACAAATTATCTAATTGCAGTGTTTTTTGAGAATATATTTACAATTCAGACAAATGCAACTAACTTATTTCTCCATCTCAAAAACTGCCATTGGAAGATGATGTTTGACATGAATTTTGGCCGAGGCTGCTCCTTTGGTTGGATTATTTGTCTGGATTCTCTGTGAATGCCGGCAAAGGGCTCAAGCTGTGTGTCTTTACTCAGTGCAGAGTGTGACAGTGCAGTGATGGGGAGCTGGGCTGCCACACTCATGGATCTAAGTTGGATGGTTTGTCCATGGATCTGTAGTCAAAAGATTTTTAAGCATGCCATATAATCTCTGTTTGGGTTGTTATTGTACTTATGCATAGGAGCCTGGGGCTTGGAGGGTTGTTTTCTTTATTTCTTTTTAATCTTTAGGAAGGATTTTTTTTTTTCCTATCATAAGGCTTTTCTCCAGAGTTATCAAGGTTATAAATATATAATAACTACTTGTGCAGAGTAGCTACCAGCTGCTTCTGAATGAGCCCTCATGTTCTAATTTGAAGCAGTTAGGTATGTTTATGAGTTTGCTGTATATTTGAAACATATCACCGCTTTCATGCTTAGTGCTTTGTTTGTTTGCATCTGGCAGAAGATGTGAAAATGCTCCCTGTGGAGGAAATGCCCGTTTCCAACATGCGCGCTTGCAGGCGGTGTGATACTGTGAACCTGCGCGCAGAGCTGTACAGTGTTAGCCAAATCATGCTTACCTTGGCACACCAGCATTAATGCTATTGGAGCTGCTCACAGAGAGCAATTGATACCATGACTGTTTCAATAAGGTAGCACCAGACTTGAGTTCTCTCATGCCGAAGTGCACTGGCTGGAGAGATGAGAAATTTTACCACGTTTGCACTTTGAAAGTTATACTTCCTTGCAAGTATACACAAAAATAATCCAGATGGGTATTCCATATCAGCCAAATTATGTGCTGTGTACTCGATCCACAACTTAAGGTTTATGTATTTTGTTTTAGCAGACCTAGCCTATGTCTTGGGATACTTGGCTAATAACCTTAATGTTGTAACAGAGTTTTAAATCCATGTCTGCCATGGAACTGCCATTATTAGCTAAAATTTTTAAGTGCCTACCTCGAACAAACATAGAGTCATAGAATTATAGAATGGTTTGGGTTGGAAGGGACCTTAAAGCTCATCCAGTTTCAACCCCCTGCCATGGGCAGGGACACCTTCCACTAGAGCAGGTTGCTCCAAGCCCCTGTGTCCAACCTGGCCTTGAACACTGCCAGGGATGGGGCAGCCACAGCTTCTCTGGGCAACCTGTGCCAGCACCTCAGCACCCTCACGGGGAAGAACTTCTTCCTTATATCTAACCCAAATCTCCCCTGTTTAAGTTTAAACTCATTACTCCTTGTCCTGTCGCTACAGTCCCTTGAAGAAGAGTCCCTCTCTGGCATCATTGTAGGCCCCCTTCAGATACTGGAAGGCTGCTCTGAGGTTTCCACAAAGCTTCTCTTCTCCAGGCTGAACAGCCCCAACTTTCTTACCCTGGTTTGGCTGCCAGTCAAGGAGTTGAAGCAGATGTACATTTTTTATTACTGTAAGTTAATCAAATTGTTCTGTAAGTTTGCTTGAAGAACCAAGCACATTGGCCACTCGTTCATGCTGAATTGACTGTGCTCAGGAGTATTCAGGTGTATTTGAAGTAATGGATGTATTGGAGGAGTGTATGTATAAATAAATTAGCTCTGCTGCTTAATGAGTAAGCCAAAGAAGAATATCAGTTGCCATAATTATGGACATGACACCAGAATTAACACAATGCAGGCACTTTGCTGCTCTTTGCACATATACTGTTAACTAAACTGCTTAATTCAGATTTCATGGTTCTGTTACTGGTAGCAATGCCAACAGTTGATTCAGACGGTAAGGTGAGGAGGTGCAAAATGATATTTCTATGCAAAATGTACAATCTGATTGAACCTGAAAACAGATTTGAAAATTCAGTATGAGATGCACTATTCCTGCTTCGGGAACATTAGTTTCTTCAGGTGCCATAATCAAGTGTCCAACATACCACACTTGAGAAGATCTTAGCAAACTAGATATATTGTGAATGAATAATGTTATTTAAAAGTAAGATGGAAAACAAAAAAAGAAACAAAAAAGAAGGAAAACAAAGAAATGCCTTAGTTTGGGATACAGCATTGATATGCAGAAGCCCCACGTGCAGACCTGAGTTGAATTGATGTTTTAGACCCTCACTTGCTGCTGCTTTCCAGCTTAGTTTTTGAGATCACTTCCTATTGAATGCTATACAAACAGATGTTTTGTCTATCTATAATGGAAAGTGGAAAAAATCTGGAATCAGCTTATTTAAATAAGAAATATACCTATCTTAAAAATGTATCCTTAGACTTCATAGCATTGCTTTTTCATATATAGGAACTGTTCAGAAGAGAATCTGTTGTCATCTTAAGACCTGGTGTCACATAACAAATTAAGTCTTAATACCTCTTGACATAATTGTTTGCCTTTAGTTGTGATTAAGCAGTATTTTGACAAAAGATTATTAGTATGATGAGGATTATAATGGTTAAGAGACATTTCCTGAAGTGTTCTTGAAAAGAGAGGAAAAATAGGGAAAATGGAATGGTCAGTTGGGGGACATGCTTATTCCTACTGTTGGAATAATTGATTTAGTTGTGTTTAATATAAGTATCTAAAAGTGTCCTTTAAGCAAAGCGAAGATAGTTCTGTTTTGGAACTACTGTCATTTAAGCAACAGAAGGTTGCTTCATTAGAATTAGTTAGAAAATTGGCCTTTCAAGTGCAATACAATCAGGGATTGTATAGGTTTTTTCCACTTAAAATTTAGTATTTTTACCTTGTAAAGATTTAGTGTGGTATGTTCTAAGCAAATGACTGCAAAATAAGAGTGCTACTATAAGACACTAGACTGTTGGGGTTTTTTTTTATAGAAGATTTTGTTATTAAGCTTTTACTTTTTTATGTAATACTATGGGTTTGAGACAACAGAATGGAGTGAAAATAGATGGACTTTCCTACTGTTCGATGTGTACTGCTTGTTTTGACTTGTACCGTCATGTAATCTGAGTGGTGTTTTTGTCTGCTAAGTCTGTTGCTGATATATATGATACACTAATGTTGGAATAAATTTTTTAAACATTGCATTCATCTAACTTGTGTAAATCTGATATCTAAATAAAGCAGTGCTTTTTTTTAATGTGCTGTCAACCTGGTTTTGAAAATTCCAAGGTCACAGAAGGGAGCTGAAGTGTTAAAAGTTAAATACCCAGTGACCCTCATGGGGAAGAGTATTCATACAGATTTCTGCAACTCATTGCAGGGTATCTGGATCCTGAATATGGATTTCCTGCATTTATAACTTCACCACTTTCTTACTCAGATTATTGAAGAAAGCCTCCATCTGACTGCCATGTTCCACTTGATAATCCCATTGTGTAACTATCTTTTCTGTCTTCCTCCATTTTCCTAAGGATGAATTACCAAGGACAACCTGTATTAAGTTCTGCATATATTGTAGTCAATGCCCATGGACTGAGATGGCTTGGGTCAGTGGTAGCCCATGACTGAATTGAGCTTACCAAATACCTTACATGAGAAGACGGTTCAGACTTGGCACTTTAATTGTCTGCTAGATGCAGTACCAGCAGTCCATGAAGACGCATTCATTTTCAGCCAGGCTGCCTTTCCCTTCATTCTCTGGGTACTGCTTTTATTCCTTGTGATGCCAGGACCTGAGGTGACTTCTTAAGTTCTCAGTCACACATGCAGTTTTCACACACAGTGCAAGTCTACATGCACTTAAATAGCTTTGAGCTCATACACTGGAAAATCTGGCAGAGCTAAAACCTTCCCAAGTGACTGGTAGAGTCTTACTGTTCAGAGATACCTTTACACCTTTCTTAAAACTCATTTCTGGCACCAGTGTAGGGCTTTGGATTAAATCACGAAGAATCTGGATTCGAATTTATGAGTTGATCTCAATACACAGCAGCAGCACTCTCCTATTACACCACATTATTAGAACTTCTCTGGAAATGGGGTCACCTGCCAGAGTTGATAGGTCATTTCCTTTATAACTTTGAAATTATAAATTAAGAGAGATGCAATAGCAGTAATTAAAGAAACCTGTGAGATTAATAACAATCTTATCTGTATTAAAAAAAAAAAGAAGACCAAAACAAGCAAGGTGCGAGTATTTATTATACTGCTACCACTGTCCTGCTTATTGAAGTGGGATGGGTTACTTAATTGGGTATCAAAAGGGAAAATAAAGTGTTAGAGAAGAAAGACAAAGGCAGGGGCTGTTGCTATGTGGGATATAGGTCTTATCAAAGTGCTAGAAGTCTTCAGGTACATTCAGGCTTTGCTC